AAACCTGTTGATCTCCATTAACTGTAGATATCTTCTACCATCCTGTGCTGTTGGCGACACCAGATGTGATGCTGTAATGCTGCAGTAAGAGGAGAAAGCCCCTCCAGATGCACCCTTCCTGCACCTCTCCCCTCGCCCCCCCACGAACCGTGAGTCCCCCTGGTCTGCTGAAAGCCAGTGGTATTCTTTATTGCTTGTGCATAAAAACACTTCAGACCATGGTCTGCAGGTAACTGCCCTCTGGATGAGAAAGCTTAGAGGAATCAAAAGCACGAGTCACTTTTCTAGAGGGTTTTCCAGCTGCCTTTAAAAGAAAATGAGATTTTTTAAATTGTGCCTTCTGGCCTTTGAGAGCCCACCGTGTTGTGAGGGCACTGGTGGGGCTGGGGCTGTCGGTGGGCTAAGCCACTCGAGCTCCTGCCATTTCCGTTTGACCTGCTTGCTCAGACCTGCGCCTCCAGCTCAGCCACCCTGTTTGGCATCAAACGATTCCTCCTAAATCACTGCTTGAAGCTGAATTTAAGCAAAAGGAAAAAAAAAGGTGAAGCTATAGCAAATCGTGGTAGCGCTAAACAGTGCTGCATGCTCATGTCTTGCTCTGATCCTCAGGTAGAGCCAGTCCCAGTTGCTGCCCCTCTCTTGGTCCTTTGCCTTCAGACCTGGCCCCCCCAGTCTGGGGAGGACACATCCGGGGCAGCGCTGTCCCCCTCGGAGCCGCCCTGTACGATGCTGCTGGAGGTGAGGAGGAAGGCGGAGTAGGCGAGGTCAGCATCCTCCTTGGACCTCTGGGCAAGAGAGAGGAGGATGCTGTTAGGTGGACGGGGATGGACAGCAGCGTGCGGCAGGGGAAAGGACGTCATTAACACGGGCCATGAGCTTCTCGGGATGCAGGCAGGCATCACGCCGGTGCCAGTGTGGGAGTATTCTGCCTTTGCTCAGCCTCAGGGAAAAACCCAAACATTTGTGGGTTTGGGACTCTGCAACATGCCTGTCCACATGTGTCGGCACAGAGTTCACCTTTCCTAAAGCTGCTGGGTTTTGCTGGTTTCCTGATCGTTTCCCTTATGGCTCTGGTTCAGCTCTTGGCATTTACAACACCTACATATCGCCTTTGGTTAGGGACTTTTAAAAGCAAGACTTGCATCTGGCACCTTTGGATCCTGCCAAGCGGTGCCACTCAACCAAGCAAGAAAAGGCAAAGGGAAGGCAGGGGGAGGCAGGGGGGAG